CTTGGGTCGCGAAGGTTTGTGACTTTTAAAATATGTGTCCCCAGAAAAAAAGTTTGGGAAACACATGCCATAGACTAATGACAACCATCCTTCTCTGTTTAAATATACTCCATAATGGTTTAATAAGGATGAAGTGACACTCCCTCCACGCTCCGTCAACTGTAAACATCGTTCATCATATTAAATCACAAGCTCTGGTTTTAGAGCTTTTTTTCCATTACGTTCATTTCATTATCCACTGCCAAACTGTCTACAACCTTGGGAGGAACAAGTTCAATGAAAGTCATCACTGGCGCATTAGAAATGTATTTATTTACTCAGCATTGCACGTCCTTTTTTGACTGTGTAACATCTGTACTCTATCTTCCATATTTGATTTGGGAATCAATGTAAATGAAAATCAGTTAGTAATGTCAGCAGGTATTTTACCAAATCATATCGATCCTGGTGTAGCACGATTCCCTCTCTCTCTGTTTCTTAATGTTTGTGATGGTGTGAGAGAACGTGTCAGAACATTCCGGCCAACCAGCTGAAGGCTCCATGTGTCAGCGTGGCCACAGTCAGGGGTTTGCGGTGTCCTGCGTACACTACTGTTTGTGTGATGTTTTCCTGACTACTGTGATTTAAACCCAGGTCCCCAAAGACATTCCTTACATTGCTAAAGCCTCTTTCCTGAAACTCAGTATGAATCATTCCAAGCCATTTTCACTGTTTTCCCCCTTTGGGACCGACATGTTGACTGAGTCATTTTTAGATGTTTCATCTCAGTTATTAAATCCAGAATTTGAACTTCTGTACGTCCATGGGAACAACATGTGCGTCAACCAGCACTGACAGTAAGTCAGGGCCATGTTGATCACAACTTGTTGTTGTTGGTTGTTAGACTGCTGGTATCAACTAAATCCTAATAAATCCTTCACTGAGTCTTGTTCATTTTGGTAAACTTTAACTTTAGATATAAATCAGAGGGTTAGTTTTGGTGTAAAAGGTTGTGGGGGGTTGTGGGGTTTGGACACGCAAATAAAGTGAAACACAAATCAAATCAAATTTTCGTGTTTACTTTGGAATCTAGTTGCTAGCTGCACTGGACGTTTCAATACGTTGTAGTTCATACAGTAGTTAGGACATCCCTACTGTCAGTCAATCCACCAATGCTGTGGTGGCATTTCTACACATCTTGGCTCATGTCATTTTTGAGGCTAACACTGCGGATAAAAACACACATCTGTGATACTGGTTACTCTACAGAGGTCAGCTGTAAAAGTAGCTGTGGTGGGGGGGCAGTAGAAGCACCAAAAACAGTGACATCATAACACCTGGTGTAGGTAACCTTGCTAGGCCTACACTAAGCAACATTTCATCACTCAATTTAATCAGTGTGAGGTATATTTTTGACTTTGGTTTGGAGCTCCAGCTGCTCCCTTCAGTGGTTCTCCACTGTGGATCACCTTCCTCCATCTCACACTAGCCCCTGACTCCTCTTCTGTTACCGACCATCTCCATGTCCTCCATCACTAGATTGTTAAATCTACTCTGGGTTCCTCCCCATCTCTCTATCTCTTTGACTTTAATGGTATAAACTGAAAATTAAACTAGCGACCAGCTCTACAGGAACAGTGCCGCTCCAGGATGTTTTATACACTTTAAATACTGGCTCGTTATGTTATCTATGATCTTGAGAGCTAACTTTAATAGGATTGTGTGATCAAGTCCTAGATATAGCTTTTAAATACTGATGGGAAACTCTTCTGTCCATCACTGAAAGGCAAAGGTAACATGTTTCTACTGCAGGGTTTCTTCATATCAAACCAACTGGCACTAGTCGAAAAAAAGTAGTTATGTCAGTGCAGTGAACCAGAACATCACGGCAGCCAGCCAACCAGGAGACAGCACTTTCCACTGTCTCCGTCATCTTTTATAATAGTAAATAGTCATGTACAATTGATGCAATTCCAAGTATTATATTTCAAGAATTAAACTACATTTAAAAACATTATACTGCAATATTCCTCTTAAATTATGCTTTAATTGCATTTTGAAAACAAGATTAGAAACTCTCTTACTAACAATGCCAATCCCAGATCCTTACTTCTCCCTAGTTTGTGTTTACCCAAAACACTGTATTTTTTGGAGTATTTGTGCCACTAGTGGGTGTTTTTTTACACTTAACTATTTTATCGAAATTACAGTTCATGCAAAAGAGAAAAGGAGGGAGAAACAGGAAAAAGCAGACAGAGGGAAGTTACCCTGCTGATTAAAACTCCATTGGTAAATGTTAGTGTATTTAAAGTTAAATCTGTGTATAGTTTTTTTCTGTAACCATGGTAAACCCAGTACTGTTTTCATTACATTAAATTCCATTAATAATACGACTGTTTTCTCTGGGTGGCATTGTAAACGTTCAGAAAAATTTCCAACATAATTAAGAAAGTCAACCTGGGAAGTCAAACCTGCAGAGGGTCACAAATAAGGACCATGTTTCCCTTAAAGCTTGAGTAAGAAACTCGAGCGTTGTGTATGTACTTCTAATCTGTCAGTTTGCTAAGCGCTCGGGGCTAAATCAAATTTAGTGACTTGGCTCCCTGTCAAAGGCGGTCCGCGGGGGTTGCAGGGCATTTAACGTTGGGAAAGCTACATTACTTCATCACTGTTTCCTCAAAAAAGAAATTATGAGTGACACTGGCTCATTCAGGCTGTCCACGTGCAGAGTAGTGGAAACGTATGTTTTCATAAAGTTGCCGCTAACTCTGCAGCTTTAGTGGTCGATTTCAGACTAAACTGTGTATCGGACTTGTTGTGGAATAACATGATCTCCAGGCTCTGAAAGGCTTAAGACCTGGTGATGAAATGTTTCTCTGCTGTGAGGTAAAGTAAGTAAGAAAGTCAGGGCAATAAAATGCTGCAGCTGTGGCACAGCGGACACTCTGAAAGTAAAAAGTGGAACGGAACCAGGAGTAAAATCTGGATTTCATTTCAATGAAGTGAAACTTATTGTTTTATGGGATGACCCATACGTTAGCAGTGATTGTTATAGTGTTATCCCTCTTTAGATTTCATTCTTTTTTCTTATATATATTCACATTTGCGCAGTTTTTGTGCAGTTTTTCCTGCTGGCTGTGTCAACAGTTTTTGTAGCTTTAGGCTACATGACTGTTGTTTGACTGAAGCCAACTTCACAGAGATCAGACTGGATGCAGCCCTGTTCCCAGTCTCCCATGAAATACATGAGCCTGCTGGAGACAATAATCATTCTCCTGCATGAATAGATGTCGTAACGAATGAAAAACAAGATAAAAGAAATGTAATAACATATGTTATATATATGTTTTCGTGGTCAATTCATCTCAATTAAATTTCAGTTTAAAATGTAAAAAAAAATTACTCAATTTCTTGTCATATTATCTTCTACATCCATTTGTATCAATGTGGTTTTTCGCCTTACATGTGGATGGTGGTGCAGACAGAAAACAAAACTCTGCCAATGGAAACACACACATTAAAAAGGCTGAACTGAATCAAAGACTGAGTGAGAGCGGCAGAAAACAGAACAGAACCCAGCCAACAGAAAACACACAGATCAAGCGGAACCCATTGGGCAAACACAAGCTAGTGGAAAACAAACAGAGAGACACAGACCTGGCAGAAGTCGCTAGCACCAAACCCAGTGCCAAAGACAACGAACCGTCAAAGAGTTTGGAAGAGGGGTTCATACGACCTGAGTACCAGGTGGGACGAATGGCACTTAACGAGACAAGCAGCGCACAGGACAAAGGGGAGTGGGGTAAACTGATTACACAAGAAGAGGGGCAGATAGGTGAGCCACTTAGTATCTGTGATAAACTGTAGAGATGCATGGTAAACTGAATCAACTTCATTTAGTAGTAAACAAGGTGGAGTGGTACGTAATAAGTGTACTGCAGTCCAAGGCTCTTGTATGAAGCAAAATAACTGTATGATCAACGTATAAATGCATTTTTACTGGATGTTTTTTTAATACAATCTAAATAGAAAACAAAGCCGGCGTGTGGTAAATGGACCACAAACTGCAGATCAACAAACAAGAAAGCACAAATCTGTGGCTATCCTCACACATGAAACTGAAATAAGAACAATTTGAAACATTTCTTTGGTGTAATAATTTAAAGTATTTTTAATTCTAATCTAATCTGAATTCTAACAGCTGTAAATTAACCGCCATTCTTCAAGTTTTTTGTTGTTGCTTTTTTTTTTAAAAATACTTGAACATTGTGAACATTAGGCTCAGTCATAACATGAACGGCAAGAGATGAGAATACAGGTTCTCTGGATTGGTAGACCTTCTGTGGTCAATTGTTGTAAGAGTTTCAGGGACATAGAGATCGAGAGATCAGGACAAAGGACATACACATGTCCTCTGTCCAAAGGTGGAAAGCTGAGCTACATCCAAGTTGAAGATTAGCAAACACGTTTTCCAACGTCAAAGTAACATCAACAAAAACTTTCTCATGAAATATTTCGAGCTTATTTCCTAAATGACAGCAACCACAATAGTCCAACACCTCAGGCAGAATTCAACAGATAGATTAGCCTTTATAGTCTGCTAATGCTATGTGGGAAAAAAGACAGGAGGCAATGATCCATATCTGTACATAGATGTGTGTGTGTGTGAGAGAGAGAGAGACGGCTGTGACCAAAGTGAGTGACAAACAGTCATTTTCCGCCCTGATAGCCACAGCAGTGGGAACTTCCTGTTGGCAGAACACTCACAGAGCAGCTGAAGCCTGGAGTGAACCAGGAACCAGTGACATGACATGAACAGCAGACTGTATAGAGTCTGTAACTAGCAACTAGTGAACGTTGTTATGCTTTATTTTATTGAATTGACTAATTTAATTTGTTCGGTGAAAGTACACTGGATTTCCACAAATTTTACTAAAAATGGCTTCACTGTAATCTGAGACTTACAGCGGTACATATAGATACACCTCTTTTTTATAGATGTCACCTAGTGGTATTTTACATTTATTTTGTCAAAGTTTGAGTTTGTTCCCGTAAAGAACAAGAAGTCATGATCTGAATCTTAATGCAGCTTCTAGAAACATTCAAATGTCAAACTGACGAGCACGGATGATGAGTTCAGGTGAAAATGAGTGCGTGTACAGGACTACCACTGTGATGGGCCGCAGCAGTGCTGGATGCTGATTTGTGTCAAGGAGAGGAGACAGAAAGTTCACCAAGGAATAAAATACATGTATGTTTTACCTTAGAAGCCTTCAAATACTGGATTATTTCTATCTATAAAATCTAAAACTATACTGCACATGTGCTCTGATACTTGTGTGTATATTCTCTCTGTCCTTCCAGGGTTGAGATGTTTACACTTCACTTTACATCGCTCCAATATTTGGACTTTAGACTGAACGTGATCTTGCAGTGACTCGGTTGGATGAGGACCAGAAGTCATTGGTCCACTGACAGCAGTGTGAAATTATACTGCTCAGTCAGGGAGGCAGTTACACAAGCCCGGAATGAAACAAGGTGAACGGGGCCAAAGTTACCTAACAAAGTGTGGTTCTTTCTAAACTGCTGTCAAAAGTACTGCACCTAACATCAGGATCAGTATCATATACTGTCAAAACTTAATATGTGTACTGTAATGTGTATGAATATACAAATGGAAGTTCACTTACATCCTTTTAAACTGGAGTGAATCAAAGTAATCCAAAGTCAAACTCGTGATGAAGACCAGCTTCCATGTGGTGCATCATTCAGACTCACTGTTAGCCAGCCCCCACAGACTTTAATATGTTGAAGTTCAATCTCTGTGTTTGAATGACATCACACATACACACAACATCACAGAGAACATTCTGGCATCACTGTCCTTAACTCCAGGAGCTTTAAAAATGTTAAATGTCTTGTTTTTGCTTCCACCTCAGATTGGTTCCCAAACGTTTTTAGCTCGTGACCCCATTTTTACATTGCAAATTTCTGGTGACATTCCATTTTGTTATACTAAATTGCAAATACAAAGTGGCCGCTGCACAAAGTACTCAAAGGCCACTTGATTGCAGCCGTCGATTAAGATGCATCAGCTTAGATATTCTCATATTCTGCATCTTATTTAATCTTGATTTATTACTGATGATGATAAGTTTGAACTAATTACTGCAGTTGAAAAACAAATGTTTCTATCACTAATTGTTTTTAATCAATTACTGGCTTTTACTTTCACTTGACCCTATTTGAATTCCAGGCGACCGTTCATGGGTTGAACAACACTGCATTGTAGTGTTGTACACCGTTTCAAAAATTTGATCAATTTGTTTTTGTCTTGAAATGAATGGGTCATATCCATCCAGTTTAAACCTTGCATGAAACAAAGGAAAAAAAATATGAAAATATCTCATTTAATGGTAATAGATTTGCTCTTTTATGAATAATTTCCCGCAGTCTGGTTCTTGTCCTTGTTTGCTCTCGTCAGTGGTAAATTATTTTCACTGGTACAATTGAAAAACAATAACTATTGATTTTACAATGATAATTTACATAATGTTCACAGTCATCCTCCTGACTTTATAACAATGGATGTGATTTATCATGTGTCGTTACTGAAGTAATGAAATAATGAACACTTTGCACTAAGTATGTTTTTTTCTCCCTTTCATTATTTAATAAATAAAATGATTTTCTTCCACAGTTTTCATTCCTCTAGTTGGCCCCTTTGCTGCTCAATCAACTCTGCAGGTTCCATCACCGCGTTCTCCGCCAAGTCATTCCTGGTCCCAAAGCCTCATACCTGCATCTGTAAGACTGTGCTGGGAGCCATGTTCCACAAATACGCCGACATTCTTCAGTCGGACTGGGCTCCTGTTCCACATGTTTGCACCACTGGGACCAAAAATCTGTATTCCAAAGTGTCCTACTTTTCTGGAGACACACGCAAACAGACACACAGACCGGGGAGTGAGTTTAGGGAATGCTCCGAGGGACATGTTAAATCCATCATTTATGTTTTTCAAAGCCTGTTTATGGGTCAAAAATATGGCTGTTTCATCACGTGCACAAACACAGCATGCACACAGACATATTTTAACCGTTCAACAGAGGTATTTTCCACTCAATCGTCTGACTGAAGCAGCTGTCCCCTGAATGGACTATTAAAAACCTCCGACTATCCCTATAACCGCTGACCATGTAGCTGTGCATTTCTCAGATGCTCATGATTATTTTGGTAAGTGTTACCACCTTGGTCAACACTTCCAGTTAGTCTGTTAAAGTGCGCCATTCCCTAAATTAGCAGAATGCTCCTCACACTCACCCGTCTTTGCCCCAAAGAACAACCTCCACCTCTTCAGCTTTACCTCCATCTGCTATCTACTGTCACCACAGACCACAATGTCGTCTGCAAACATTGTGCTCCATGGAGCTTCCTGCCGGACCACATCTGTCAACCTGACCATCACCATAGCGATCACAGAGGCAAAGAGGCAAGACAAGGCTGTTTGAACCCATGTCACTCAGAATGCCCACCTCACTACTGTTTTGTTGGTAGTTACATATTTTTCACCACCCTCACATGCTTCTATGCCACTCTTGGCTTCCTCATATAGTAACACAGTTCTTCTTTAACGCAATCATATGCATTCGCTAATGAATGACGTGTGACCTCATATTTAGCATTGATTAATGACTTGACTATATATATATAAATATAAAAAAAAATTACAACTTACAAAATTACAACATTAAAGTAAATAAGGGCAATGTCATCATTTGGTAGATAATTTAATTATTAGTAAAGGACCAAACTGCAGCAGGCTTCGAGCCCATATTTTTTTGTTATTAAATCAAAGAATGAAAACAACCTTCTGTGCTGAGTTATTTTCCTCATGTTTTCTCTAAGATATCCCCCAACAAGTCCAATTATTTTTTTCATCGTGGCCGTATTTACGACCACTGCTCTCATAATGAACAACTCCAACCACGCTGTGGCCCCGTCTGAAACCTCACCTCTGTCAGCTGCTTCAGTTCTTTGCCAAGACTTTTCTCAACTTATTGCCAACTTTTTTACAAGATCTCACAGAAAAACAACTGCGTTGCTGTTTCGAAATTCCTCTATGTGGGGTCCCCACTTGAAATCACATCGAACTCTCACATTTACATCCAGGACAATAGCTTTCTCTAAAGAAGGTTGAATGTGAACCAGGCTTTCTCACACAGTCTCACTGTTAACTCAGCTCAGCTTTGCTAACCAGTTAAGTTTCATTCAATTCCACTTCTATTTCGCAAGTTGGGAGCAAATATGTTTGATGTGAGTGTCACTGAGAGTAAACAACAATCTTGGCTTTATTTCACAAATTCTAGATTTCTGAGGTCAGGGTTGAGGTAGTTTTTAAACCAAAATATATTTGATTTTTGTTAAGTTGCCAAATCCATTGATTCAATTACTTTACCACACAACGCTGCTCAACGGGCAGCGGCCTAAATCTTTAACACACTTACTCAAGTAAACACACACACACACACACCGTGACTTCCATTGAATAAACACTTATCTAATCATCTACTCATCACACTTAACAATCCAGCGGAGAATACAACCTCTGTTTGAAAACAGTGTACTTAATGTGCTGAAGTGCAGAGAGAGGTATGTGAAATTCTAACTCATGACCGGCCCGGTCACCAAGTCACAGAGCAGCAGCAGCTACATCCCTGCTTGGACATACCTTCGAAAATGTGATTTAGAGTTAATGGTTAATGCCTCTCATGGGACGTCAGGACGCAATGAGTCAAGTGTGGTTATAAGTAGACAAATCACATGAAGTAGTTAGGTGTCATTTTCAGAGGTGCCTGGGGGGAAATCCAACACCTCGTCTTTTTGTCCCACTTCCTTCCCTCCATCCTCTCCCTTTTCGCCTAGCATTCATAGATCAGTGGCAAAATATTGTCTTAGGAACCAGAAGCAGATTTCGGTGTACGGAGCATGCTCTGTGTATGGCTTGCGTGTGTGTGTGTGTGTGTGTGACATGGTACAATTCCCACCCTAGGGCCCCGGGAGTGCTTTGTTTCCAAGTTGCTGTAATGTGCCATTTCCTAACAGGCTACAGAGCAGTGAGGTCATTGTATGTGGCGGGTGGTCATTGTGATATGTCAAGCCCTGAGAGAAAGTTTCAGCACCTTTTCCCCTCTCTCTTACACACACACACACACACACACAAGTACGACAGCGCATAAACACTTAACATAAAATCTTTGAAGAAATGCCTGTGTGAGTCTCACAACTTTATGACCTTTAAAGATTGTTTTATGTGTGTGTGTGAGTAAGAATCCTGGTAAGATTGAAAACTGTTGGACAAACACTCGAGGGCAGATACAGCTCCCGGTGTGAGGGGAAATGTCTTACTCAGCAGTCTTACGACCCTCAGTCCCACACCCCCAGCGTTGACCTCTCAGAGTTAGCGATGTGATGGATTGGTTCTGGACCTGGTTACGTATCGCGTCATGTACATGCACGCACTCGTGCAACCTGAAGAACGAGGACACTCACGTCCAAACATCAGACTTTTCTCTCCTGTGAAGAGCTGTGTCATGACATGCACTGTAATAAGCCGACATCTGTAGATGGTCCTGTCCACTTACCAAATGGAAAAACAGAGAAAGACCTGGACTAACAAACATATTAGATATGATCCCACCCCCTCCCCTTGTCCTCCTCTCTCCTTCCCCTATTCATGTCACAATGATCCTATTTGTATCTCTGGTATGGGCCCCACGCTGACCCTCCCCATCACAACAATCCTCACATTATTAAACTGCCGACCTCTGGCCTTATGGACAGCCTGGACCTCTGAAAGGCCAGAGGAGCGCTGAGGAGGATGGGAGTGTTGAGATAGCACAGTGGTGGCTTTGTCACATTAAACAAAAGCTGTTTTCAATTAAAAATCAATGCAGCCTCTACTCTTCAGTCTGGAGGTGCTCCACACTAGTGCATTTCTGGGCTACATAACGGGGGGTCGTCGGGGTCACCTGGGTTAGTTCTATATAACACGTTCTACATGGTTCTCATGTATCTTCTGAGAAAAACTGTACTGTGTATAGTCTAAAGTATTGATTTAAACAGCAAATAGAACTTTTGGAGATCTAAAGAGAGAAAAAAATCAATGTATATATACAGTATATAACAATTGAAACAAAAAAGATAAATAAATATATAAATAAAAAATATTTAAAACATTACTATTATTTATGAGTCAGCCGTTTGACCCTTCTCTTCGTAAACCCTTAGCAACATATTTATATGTATCTTTGGGGGATTCAGTTTTCGGCCAAAAGCTGGAACAGAGACCAAGGCAGTGAGTCACAAATGGATCCTTGCAACAGGAAAAGAACTGACCTCGAGGATCTGTCCCCCTCACATTTCTCACTGCCAGTAAGTGTGTAATTCATTTATGGTGTTCTGTTGGAAATGGTGACTGTGTAGCAACTGTAGAGACAGGAAAGCTGCTTTCTGCTTTTACTCTTACTCTTACACTTTTTTCAGGGACGTCATTTGTGTCCCTCACTTTAATACAGGAACGGCTGTTTGGAATGAAGCTATCCAGAAGTGGAGGGACATTCAACTGCATTCCTGTAAAGGCATCTCCAGGGACTACGTTGGCTTGTTGTTTAATTGCATTCATTTTAAAAACATCCTGTATCCCAAGGAAATGTGTTTATATATATATACTGTATATCTCAAGTGGATACGTTTGGAAATCAGGAGTGTTTCTAGAGCAAGGGGATTAAACAGGGAAGACAAATCAAGGAGTTTAATAAAATGTCTAATTGTTATGTAAACAACCACTGAAACTGTAAGTTACTGTAGTGACACAGAGGAATACAAAACATCCAAATATAAAACCTGAGTAAGAAGATGAAAATGAGACTTGGTCCATTACGACTCACTACAATATATACAGCACATAGCAAATGCATAAATAACTATCTACTATTAGGAATAAGAAGTATTAGCATCGGCATGTACCTGAGTGATATATAAATAGTAGAAATTCAAATGAATTATAAATACATATGAAGTCTACTGACATGCAAGTGATAAATGTAATTTTAATTTAGCAGCAAAAAATAAACAACTATTGTATGTATTGCACTTTACTAGAAAAAGTATTGCTGAAGTTGCTGAAAAACTTGCTAAAGTATGCAGCGTTGTCTGTCAGTTTTACCTGAACATGAAGCTTCTGTTTCGACAGATGACCAACTGTTATCAAATGTGTTTATGTATATTCCTCATGTCCCTGAATATTGTTTCTGTTGTTTCATAAACATACAGACTTTCATTCAGACACACAGAAACCCTACTTTACCGTCGGTCAATATGAGAAAACCTATTAGTATCACATGACAACAATTATATACTGTGTTTCCTCTGATCCTAATGAGTCACTGACCATTTAACCACTTAAAAAAAAAAAAAAAGAAAAGGTTTTTCCAGGCCTGAGTGAATGGACTTGAGCTTCCTGAATGTCAATTATATGTTTATGGGGCTAAAAAGATGACGCAAGGCAAACTATGTCCACTTTGACCAGAGACCACTCTGACTAACACCGCAGCGATCTGCTAATGTGTTTTCCTGAAGACAGTGACAGGTGCAGGCACACTCATGCTCCACTGATGCAGCACTTTCAGCTGTTTCAGACCGTCTAAGACAGAGGCGTGCAACTCAACCCAGTCTGCAGGCTAACGTATTCACTGAAGGCATTCTGATCCTCCAAGTCACTCACGGATCGGGCTGTAGGGCTTTAGTCAGCTCTTCTGCCAAACTTTACTCTGACTCTGTGGAAGTTGGTCATCAATAATCACAAATCCCCGTCAGACACGCCCAATGTCCACACCTGCTCCCTGTGTGCCTTTAATTTAATGGCAACAAAAATGTATGAATGGAAGGAGGAGTGTTGCTCCTAGTGCCAAGAACAGAACGGTCTTAACTCCTTCATTAGGCATTGCATAAAAATAAACAGAGACTCTGACTGTTTTTATTCAGGCGTCTGAACTGCACCCTTCACGATCATATCAGCAGATCACTGACTGGTATTGAGAGGCTGATTTTAACCCAGGGTGGAGCCAGTGTGATATTGTATCCAGGTGGATTGATTCTGACCGCAGCATCGACTGACCACCACCGGGTTCCAGTATAGCATAGATACGTGTGCTAGGCATGCATGCCTTCTCCTCTTGCTGTTGGGCCCAGGTTCAGTAATGCAGGCAATGCTTTGAATGCTTTGATGCTCAAATGGGGTTGCTATAAATGATAGCGATGAGTTCCCCAAATCCTATTAACCCCGGACGTTGGCAGGTACAAGCAGCAACTATACTGTAGTAGAGTATCACTACACACCTGCCACTCTGTCTCTCATTGACTAAAGCAGGATAATGTCTGCTGTGGAGGGAGCAGCCAGGGCTCCAAGGTCCAAACTTGGTTGGATCTATTTTTACTGGAGAGACGGCAGAAAAGTGAGAGCTTTGGATTTTCACCGTTGAACATCCTATACAGCAGGGGTTCTCAACAACCTGGTCCAGGTACCGGTGGCGATCCGTAGGTCTATGCTACCAGGCCGCAGGGGGACACAGCGTAAAGATGTAATCCAATTTTACTGATTCACTTTTGGATTATATAATGCAGCGCTAGGCCCAGAAATGTACCATTCCAACATCAATTTCAAATCACAACATAAATAAAATCAAACCAAGAAAAGTGTGTGTGTATATGTTAGCAAAAACCATTTGCCACATCATAGTCAATAACAAGTACAAGTTCTTCCTTTTTGGTGGAACAGCAAAGACACAAGAATAAAAATAAAAGAA